GCTTTCATTAGGATTAATGGATGGTAGCAAATGCACAAGATAACAAGGTGCATCTGGCAAGGAGAAAGGGCCTGAGACAGTGTACAATATTCATTATGACTGAATGTGATAAACAGTTGACTAAAAATTTTGGAACTTGCACCTGCTCGTCTTTTTGTAAACTGAACGAGTAACCAAGACATTGTAGATGATTTCATTTACAGAGGTTGATTTTGGATAAGTATATAATATGTTGCTTATATATTTTAATGGTTGCCATTACTTGCCATAATTGATATCCCTGGGTAGATATTGTTGGGAAATATTAACGCTCTAATAGCAGTAGTAGTGCTTTCTTCATCTATGAAACCTTGAAAGGTGATAGGTGACAAGTTGCATGGGATGCAGAAGAAAGATCTAGGCTGACCCTAAATGCTCTTAGCTGAGAACAGGAAAAAGGCTATGATTTGAAGTAGGTAATAAGGTTAATTAGAGGCACAAGAACAGTTCATAGTCAGTAGAGATGAAAGGAAAAGAATCTAGTACTTTCTTCTGAGATGGAAAACACAGAATTTTCTTCCTGAATTGCAACCTGTATTCTCTTCAGAACCTACACTGAAGCTTTCAAATTGAGATGTGAAAGCCCTAGGAGATTTGGGTCTGGTGTGCTCATTTCTTATCTAATCTCATAACGGCACAAAATGCAGTTACATTAAAAAGAACAGGAATTTCTTGTCTTAGTGTAGTGAGGGGGGTGAAAATCTGTTTATTTTCCAGTAAATTTTATTACAAAGAGATTTGAACACGTGAAGAAGTAGAAAACATTCTGACTTCTTAAACTGGAGTGTTGTTAAGCGATTGTTATTAAACTAATTTTTTTTCGCTACAGAGTGGGTTTTATTGCCTCATGGACAAAAAAAAAAACCCTCAACTATTTCTACTTTTCCCTTCCATTCAGTAAAGTAGGAAAGTAGAAGGACACATGTGATAGACAGTACTGTATTACTGTACAAGGCTATACTGCCATCGAGAGGTGCTGGGTGATATCATACCAGTGCAGAGTTGAAGAACTGCAAAAATGAAAAAAACCAGCTTGTTTTTAAAAATTCACATGTGTGTGGATGCTTAGCTAGCTCTCCGTGTGTTAAAGCACATTGAATGTTTTACAGGGGTGCAGATTTCTAGCTATGTGTGTATGAGGAGTTCTTGGATGACAGAGGTATTTCCCTTTTATTTTCTTGCTTTACATCAAACGAGACCATAAATGCTTGTGATTAGATCAAATGTTAAATTCTTTCAGAATAATATGGCCCTTTGTGGGCCCTTACAGATAATTATCCATGCAGTACCTCTAGGTATCTACTCCTATAAATAACTCAAAATTGCAGTTTTTATTTTAATCACATGATAATAACTAAAAAGTAATAGATTTGCTTTTACAGTCAGATCACTTGTTTCTTTAAAAAATGATTGGAAGAGTTGATAAGGAATTCAGAGTTGAGGGTATTCAAGTTTGTAACTTCAGTGTGGAAAAATTGGTGTTACTGGGAAGTATCTATATTAAATGGTTGAAGAAGTTGATTTTTGTGACACTTGGTGAAGAAACCATTAAGCTTGAGTGACCTGAGCTTAAACTGTGTTTATTCTGGCCAAAAAAGTAGTTTTCAAATTCTGACCTTTGGGAGCATATTTCAAAATTTTAAAATGAGATACACTTTCAACTGCAAAAGTTAGCAAACAAGAAGGCAATGTTCTTCAACTTTTGGCCAAACAGAATGAATGAGCAGGGTGATACAATTTGCTGATGATGTTTTGTCTGTTTTTTCTATAACAGTATATACAAGCACCTTGAAGAGACTGGAAAAAAATAGGTTGATGAGATTTCTTTCATTGCATTCACTGTGCAAAAACTCAGAAGACAGGAGCCATGCTATTGTGATTCAAGCTACTAATTTGGAGATCAGGATATCTGGAGACTCTTACATGTTTGAGCTAGGGGGACGCACACACTGGGCATACAATTAACCTCTTTACCTCAAATCCCCTTCTTGTAAAACTAGAGTCATTGTACTTTCCTCACAGGAGCACTGGAGGAAATACCATTAATATTTATGAGACACTTGCATACTATGATGATGAATAACACAATAAAAGTTACCAGTACTAGACAAGCAAGGAATCATTTCATTAGAGAGTATAGTAGCCATCTCCAGTTTGCCCCCCCCCGCCCCCCCATTTGGAGAGTAAGGAGCTGCAGTTACCAGCACAGATGGTTAAATAACAGTGATAAAAGCTCCCCACCAGGCAACTGTACTTGTTACCGCTAGAACTGCCTCTGCACGGGCTGATAAACCAGCCTTCCTCTCCATCACAAAGCAGGCAGGTGGTAGAAACCCTCCTGCCGACACCCTCTGTCAGGTATTGTCTGGCTCATCACTTTCAGTTATTCACCATTTGATTTTTGGAGTGTATCTTTGATCAAATTCAGAGGATGACAAAGGTTGTTCAGGGAGTTCTGGGCTAGTACCTGGACAGTTTTGTGGAAAGACTTCACTGGAAATTTCTGATGTCTTTCTTCAGACCTGAAGCAGAACTGGTAGTCTTTTTAGTAGCACCTGGTGCATGCAGGTCTCGGTGCTTTAAAAATTTGAATGCAGCGAGCTTGATTGTATGAGGTGGGTAAATAATAGGATCCCCATTTTTCAAATGGCAAGCCGAAGCAGAGGAAATGTTGTGTGATTTACTCACAGCCACAAACATCTAATGCTGCGAGTGTTGATGCAGCCAGGTTGGACATGCAAACATAAACATTTATATGTGCTAGAATCTAAAGTATTTCACTTTTATTTGAATTCAGAAATTATTTGCCTTTATTCTCCTTCAGAATCAGATACCTGCTTCTCTTCCCTTTCTTTAAATACAGCACTTATAAACACTTTAATACATTTTTTTAAATTGCTCAGTGTTTTGGTGCATTAATAATAATAAACTTAATTTTTGTCATCTTTTAAATTTTATTATGGTTTTCCTGTAGTGAAAATTAAAGGAACACTTCCCACGGAGTCATGGCACAATGAACTGCGAGAATATCATACTGAGGGAAAGTAGTTTATTTGTGCTAACGGATCAGTTGGTATGAGTTTTTAAGTAGTGTGTTTTAGAGGAGGGCTGTGGTATAGAAAACTTACAAATGAACAGTATCACTTGCAAATAAACATTATCACCTGCAATTGGGATTTTATCATTTTAAGAAGAAAATATATGTGATGGCATGTGGGAACGCTTAGTATTTGTAATACATAGACCCAAATGTTTATTATGTAGGAATCTGTAATTCATCATAAGGACCTTTCCAGGATTTTTTTTTTTATTTTGAGACTGTGCAAGATGAGTAGACAAGTAAAAGAAACAATTTTTTTGTTATGAATGCTTGCTTACTTAATATGTTTCAGTTTAACTGCAAAACTGAAGTCAGCATATGTGCCAAATAATTTATCAGTCTAATTTCTGATGGCAACAAGAATAGCAGTTTTATATGTACCAGGATTCTGGTTTGGTAAAAGCAGTTAAATTAAATTATGCCAATTTGAAAGTCAAAACCAGTTGAGTTACACAAGAGCATGCTTTTTCTGGTCAAAATAGGAAACATTTGGGATATTTTGGGGGTTATGTAAAGACTTTAATTTGTAACCACACTGTGTATGCTCAGTCTAAGTGGTAGACAAGAATAGTTGTTCGTGCGATTTGCCATTTCTTCAGCACATTATTTAAACCATATTACTGTGCATATTTTTTATTTTGAATGATAGTTAATCTGAGCTATGATTAATTCTTTTAACATTTAGATAATTTAAAAAAGATGTGCACATAGTGTTTACATACTAGACATGGCTAGATGCAAGCACATTTAAATGCAGCTTATTTCATTTTAGTCATAACCTTCCAGAAAAGAAACAGTTGTTTTTTGTGGGGTGGGTGAGGGTTGCCCTTTGCATAGTTTGTGTGATTTCAGAACCTAGAGAATGGCATAGCTGTTGGGCCATGTAATTAAGAAATTAACATAAGTTAGAATGACACTGTTGAATTTGGGCCAGATGGAGTTTAAGTGAGTATTTTCTGAATACACTTAGGTAACCTTCTTGTTACCTTTTTTTCTTGTTTCAAATTTTTAACTCGAGATCTGTCAGTGTAGCAGAAAGGTTATGCCCTCCCTACATTACATATTGCGAATGAGATGAACTTTACAAGAACTAGCAGGGAATGTGAAATGCTTGCCACTGTTGTGTTTTAAATCTAACTTTCAAAATCAGTTGAGTGATGTCTTCCCAACAAATGGAGACTGACATGTTAAAAACATTTAGCAGTTCTTTCCTTCAGTCTGTAGACCTTCTTTTCTTTATTACCTGGTGCACAAATAACGATGTGGAGCTCAGACTCTTGAATCAAACAGCATTTAATGGCAGTGAAACTGGTAGTTCTGTGGGGTTTTTAAAAAAGCACAATATATCTGTAGTTCTGGTCTTTGGAATCCATGTGTTCTTTGTTTTATGAACTCATGCCAAAATTGAAAAAGCTTCTGCCAGACTTTTACTCTTCCAACAGTATGTTTTCACTTTCTGTGTAGTGGCATGCACATCTCAGTTTCTTTACTTAGTTACTAATTCTTCCTTTGACTTTATTACTTGCTTTACAGTGTTCTTGGCTTGTCAGTATTGTATAACTTGGTGTTGGTGAATGTATTCTTGCAGCAAGAATTGAGCTGGTGTCTGTCTGATGTAATGCAGTGTCCAGCAGTGGCTGACCTGTTTCCTCTCTGTTTTTCCTGACCACTCATCTGGGGGGGGCGGTGTGTAGATTTCCTACCTTGTGAGCTGCAGTTTATTAACTAATACTAAAACTCTTGTCTGCTAATAGATTAACCAGCTGCAGCAGGATTAAAAATGTCTTCTCTTGAATGTAACAGGACATAGGCTGCAAATAATGTAGCAGGTTAATGTATTGTCTTCCACTTTTCATTTCAGGCTGGAGGTTCTCAAGTGATCTTTACCAATCCACTGGAAATTGTTAAGATTCGATTACAGGTGGCTGGAGAAATTACTACTGGTCCACGAGTTAGTGCCCTCACTGTATTACGGGACTTAGGCTTCTTTGGTCTCTACAAGGTATGGGTTTTTTTATATATACATGAATTAAAATCCAATTATTAATATTTCAAATCAAAAGATCATTTCATTGTTCTCGCAAACTTTCATAGGTGGACATAATTGTACTTTTTGAAAAATTCTTCCTGTAGATCATGTAGATCTTACTAAGATTACTTTTCTCGCTTCAGCAGGTGTAAGTATTGTTCATCGAGGATTAGTTTGTGATTCCTGATGTTCTGCCTGGTGTAAAAGTAAACATTATCATCTGCTTCATGATCTAGAGCTTACAGTTTTGGAGTTGTGCTTTTGCTCTTCTGTGTTTGATTCAGCAACTTTCCCAGATGTCATTGTTAATTTCATGATGGGAATTAATTGCAGCACAATAATAGTGAAGAAATACAGACAGTGGGAGCCCAGCATAAAAATAAACTCCTAAAGCAAGCTTCCCCTTGCTACTTTAGAAGAACGTTGCCACAAATAATACCAGGAAAAGCTGCTTTTATGAGTGTATACTACAAACTCCGCAGTTCTGCTTTCTACATTACTGTCTTCACATGGATATGTAAATATGTAGAAATAAAGTTAGGTTTAATGTGAGACTGTCGCAGGATTAGAAACATCTTGTGTCGAATCTAATAGGATGTATGCTGCAAATAATTTAAAAGGATTAACATACTGCCTTCTACTTTTAGATGAAGGAGACTAGATATGGGGGGGTATGAAAGGTCTCGGAGTACTTTGAGATAGCCATTGCACACAGTATTGAAACAAAAGCTGTAATGAGTGCCATATACTTAAGAGCACTGTGCGGTGTTTCTTCAGATTCTGCAGCTTACTTCTTGGGAGAAAACTTTCACACTACCCATTTGTCCCAGTATTTCCAGTGCAGCAGACAGTACTCTTCTGTTTCTTATTTACAGCAGCATAACTGTAAATTGAAGATGCTTCAAAAACCACCAAATGAGCCCCATCCCCCTCCTCCACAATACTTGAATTCCATCTCCACTTTTAAGCATCCAATACTTTTAAATTGTTCTGTTAACATTACAAAGAGGAAGCCTGCCCGGGAGTAGATGTATGTATGTTTTGGCCTGGAGAGAAGTTGCAGACCTGAATAGGATTTAATGGGGAGTTGTTTTTCCCTTTAAATTGACTTGCTAATTTTTTAGGTGTTTTACTGAAGCTGATGCTATTGTGTAAACTCCTAGTAAATGGCATTATGGTGTTGATCAGGTCAACATTTACAACTGAAAACACGGATATGGTAAACAGTCTGCATCCCTGAGGCTGTGCAGGAATGGAGGGCAGCTATTGACTTTTACTTGAACTAGTAAAAATAAAATGAAAGAGTGATTGAACTAGTTTACGGAAGTTAGCATTTTTTAGATTTTTTTTTTCCTGAATACCTGCTCTTGGTGGCTGAGCAGAATTTGCTGCATTTTTCCATTATTAAATGGCATTAATGTCTTGGGTCGTGTTATGAAGTATTTCTGGTTTTTAGAGTAGATACTTGGTGAATATTTGTAAGGAATACACCTGAACAGGAGCTGGTTACAGCACTATGTTGTGTTGAAACAGGCAGTTATTTAATCACAAGCTGCACAGTTTCATTGGTTCATTCATTAAGTCCATTTACCTCCACAGAAGGGTTGTTTTAACTCTTCTGTTGTCTCTCTTTCTGTTGGTCTTTACCCCTCCACCACATTCCTTGTGTTCATGTCCTTTTGTATGTCCAATTTAGATTCATTGCCTACAAAAACTTGACTGATTTGACAAAACTAGAGAATTTAACCTGGTAATCACAGTCATTGACCCAGCGGAACGCAGGCCATGTCAGAAGGCTTGTGTCCAAGTGCACCCTTAGTCACAGCTAGCTCTGTCATTGGGCAGGTTTGTGCTGTTGTCCACCAAACGCTTTGGCACTGTAGCCAAAAAAACAAAAGGCAATCCTATCTGCCCCCTCTCCCATATGCCAGCAAGAGTGTTCGTGCAGCCACATAATGATCTGGAACAGGAAACTCATTAAAACTGAAGCTTCCTCCTCCTTATGGCTTAGTTTATTGTGAACCCAGACTAGCTCACTTTGTAGCTCCTCAGGATGGTTGTACCCAGGCGAAGGGAGGAATGGCTTCATGGCACAGCGAACCCATCAGTCTGTATCAGAGGAGTTTTATACTGCCCTGAGGTGCTTGTAGAACAGCAGTGTTAGGGGCAAAAGTAGTCCTCTCCTGAATGCTTGAGCTGAAGCTGGCAGTGCTGGTGAGGCCAGGCAGGGATTAACAATTCATTGCATCAAAGTCAGCAGCCTCAGTAAATGCTACCCAGAGACCAATGGTCTAAAATGAATTTCAAATGAGACTAGATTTGGTAGGTGCTCCCTTCTCTGGTGGTGCTTCTAGTAAATTAATTTGGTGAGTGTAATGACCAAGCGAACATCAAATAATAATAAATGTTCTACTAATCAAAATTGAAATGTCTTGGTACATTTGGAATACTTTACTCTTAACGAGTCAAATTAGCTTTAAAACTATAAAACAGTAATGAGGATTTTATGTCTATCTCAGTACTTTCCATGCTGTTCAGTCTAACATGAACAACTCTTTCATTTGCATCTTAATTCTTTGTTTTAGCTTTGTTTTGTCTTTTGTGTCTCAAGACACAAGGCTTGTATCTCAAGCCCTGAATGTGCTAATTTTAGTAGATCTAAGTAAGACTCCATACATACCGCTCCAGAAGAACAAGAATAGATACTTGTTTTAGAAAACAGTTTTATTTGTGAATCTTGGAGTTTGTTTGTAGGCTTAATGGGCCTTCATGTAAGTATTCCAGCTGTTTAAACACTGGTCTGTCTTAGCCATGATTTAGTTAATCAGTTAGTCATTTCTTTTGCAAGGTTGAAAGTAAAATTCTAGACTTTTCATTTCAGGAATTTTCATTTAAATAAATTGATGCCTTTTTTTTTTATTATTCCTAAGTTTTCTTTTAACAAATTGTATAACAATCCAAACTTCAAATGTAATTTTTCATTTCATAGTTGATAAAAAAAATATTTTGGTTTTATTTTTTTTTCTGTTTGGTATAGCCTGAATTTATGTTCTGCTGGGTTTTTTTATTTTTCTTCTGTGGCCAAAAGAAAGCAAAATGAACAAAATTTAAGTACTCCATCAATTTTGGTTCAAGACCATAATGTTCCTCCTTTTCCACTTGACTTGTTAGAAATTCTTGTAAAACTGCTCTAAGAAGGGTTGACTGCAGTCTTCTACAGCAGTTTCCACCACTGACCACTCAAATAATTAACTTCTGATGTCTGGATTAATGGATGTCAAGTGCTTGTAGTGCTGTCCCCCTGGAAAAGGTGAAGATGGCCATTGTCTAGATGAGGCCAGGTAGGGTGGCATAGTATGAGAAGCTGTACAGAGGGACAGGGTCCTCTGTTGCTTACAGAATTTCCTTAACGGTCTTGCTTTGAGATGGGAAGAAAAGGGATTCCTTCAACCTAACAGTTGGCTGGTAAAATCCATGGAGAGCAAAGATTAATGCTTTGTCTGTACTGCCAGCAGCGGAGAAAATAGTCTTGTTATAGACATAGAATAAATGGAGCGGTATCACATATTTAATAGGAAGATGGAGCCCAGAAGACATGATGTTAACTTGAAATTAATATTACCATAATGATAATTTTTCAAAATAGGAATATGGATATTTTTAAGTGGGGTTTTTTTGCAATGAATAAGAACATTACCAGTCAGTCTGCAAGCTCATAGTAGAGCTGAAGTGTTTCCATTGCTCATCAATGTGAGTTTACTTCTATGTTGGTAAGTTGCAATCCTCTTAAATCAGGACTGGTCATCCAGTCTGCTGGACACTGGCTTTTCTGTTTCTCTTGCTCTGCTTTGGTGCTGTTTCGTTTACCGTGTTGCAAGGACTGCAGTGAAAATTCTCTTTTCCCAGTTCAGAAATAAATCATCTTGAAAGCTGTTCTTGCCACCATAGATCAGTCCGGCATGCTCTGCTTAGTTCCTGTGAATCTTTTATGCTGAATTCAGGTGAAAATCTGTAAGAGTCCCATACAGTAGTCGGCGAGGAAGAATGCACTTTCATTAATTATAACTGTAGCCAGAAGATGCAAAGAATTACATATATCGGTCTTAGCTTCATGAGGCAAATTCCTGCATGTCTTAACAAGATCTACTGCTTGTTGTTTGAATTCTTGTATTTTGTATTAATTTCTACCTATGAAGCACTTTGTGTGGATTTTAAAATAAAATGCCTCCACACCCCTGATACAGGTAATTTCGGTGTTTCTGTCTTGCATTAACAGAGAAAACAGAGGCACAGACAAATAAATCTTATGTCTCGTGTCAAAAAACCAACAAAGGAAATGCTATGTAAACCCTTTTTGCATCCAGCTGAGTGAATCTTGTATTGATTATGATCATAATTATCCCAGCATTCTAGTCCAAATGAATAGCCATTTGAGGATTACCGAGAAGCTGCGTTATGTAGTTTTGATGCCCCTCTATATTAGTGAGATTAATGTTCTTTTGGGTCATTCATTGGCCTGTTAACGTGGTGCTCTACTTAAACAAACAAACCCAAAAACCCCTCACCCTTTTTCTAATGCCTAATTGGAATTGGCCATGTTCCAGCTTGTCCATTGCCTCTAATCCTTCTACTGTGCACCTCCAAGAAGAGTTGTCTTCCCTGCACCCTCCACATAGTTGAAGAGAGCAGGAAGGTTTCCCCCTTAGAGCTCAGCCTGCTCTTCTCCGAGTTGAGCACACTGAGTTCCCTCAGCCTCTCCTCATCTACCATGTGCTACCCAGCTGGCTTTATGGCCCTGCACTGGACTCACTCCAGTGTGGCAATGTCTTTCTTGTACTGGAGAGACCAGAACTGGACACAGGTCTCCAGATGTGGTCTCACCAGTGGTGAATGGAGGGGAATAATCACGTCCCTTGCACCCTTGCTACTACAGCCCAAAGTGTGGCTGGCTGTCTTCACTGCAGAGAGACATT